TGTGCCAATGATTCAATCAGCCATGCATATGTATAGAAACCCCAATGGAAACTTCAGAGAGCAAGGTTTGGGCAAATTTCTTAGCTGTGAGGGTTTTGGGAAGGGTGATGAATCCTAATTTCTTGGGGAAGGGACATGGAAGCTCCATGTTCAGGATTCTACCAGACCTCACCCTCTGGGGCTCTCCATTTGGTTGGTCCTGATTTATATCCTTTATAATAAAAGTGTAACTATAGGTATAGTGTTTTCTTGAGTCCTGTTAATCATTCTAGCAAGTTATCAGACCTGCAGGAGTCATGGTAACCCCCAAATTTGTAGCCAGTTTGTCAGAAGTGCAGGTGGCTTGGGGACTCCCAAATCTGTGACTCCATTCTGGGAACCTTCTAGATTGCTAAAAATGTTCTATATGTTTATTGGGATGGTGATAACATGGAAGTATGCACAGGTTAAAAAATTGACTAATGATATACTTAAGATGTATACACTTTTTAATGTAAGTTATACATCCATTTAAAAGATTAAAGAAAAAGGTCAACATTGCATATGTTTCAAATGAACAAATTTGCAGGATTGGGATAATCAGGATTCTTTATTGGTGTTTTCTAATGTGTGAATATAGGTAATATAAACTCAAATTTTGTTAATTCATAGTTGATATAGTAAATCCACCAGGGCCTCAACCCAATGTCACCTAATACTACAGAGAACAAATATCCAGGACAGTGGACATCACAAAGCTTAATGGTGGTACCGGAGGGGGACGGGCAGGCCGGGGCCGGGGGAGGGGGGCTGGGGTCAGAGTAGGAGGTTGTGCATCTTAGCTGGCCCTGCCATTTATTGGTAGTGTGATAGTAGGCAAGGGGCAATGAGAGTTTCTCAGCAAGTTGATAGGATGGAAATGATGTTTATAAACATAAAAACACACAGTAAATTCCTGTGAGTGTAACCTTTAGAGTTATTGTTACTGGCAATTGTTACATCAAAATACCAGCTGGGAGACCACCTTTATATTTCTGAACTTCTAAACTTCCTGGCATTTCAGTTTTTATTCTTTGATTTTAAAACTGAAAGCCACAATAATAATAGGAACGGAAAGAGAAGAAGTCTCTTAGAGCGGGAAATGTAAACTCAGGGCTAACCCCCATCCTCAGAAAATACCAGGGGCATCCTGGAGAAGGGAATCTTGAGCTGGAGCTGTCCCTTGTATACCCATTTACAAATCAATTTAGCAGAATGCCCAGAGGGGAGGGGAGGGAAAAGCAAGACCTGAGCTAGAAATGCAAAGATCCTTAAGCCTGAAATGAAGAAAAACATATTCATTTGGCTTTAAATAAAGCCGTAGGCTGTTTGAAATTGAATTTTAGACTAGAGTTTGGGTAAGCATATCAATAGGTAGTGTATCATTCTTCACTTTTGTTTGTTTGGGGGGTTGGATAATGTATTTAGAATATCCCACTTTAGAAATTAGATAAATATGTATTAAAACATCATGTAGATTTTACCATTTAATTTAGTTAATTCCGTGCTGCATAAGTGAAATATATCGAAGCTCTTATGGATCTCATTTCTTTGTGTTACATTTTTTAATTTAATGGCTTTACTTTCTTTTGAAGGCTTTCCATTTCATTCATATTTTTATGTTGTTTATATTACCGGATCATTATTTTCTAAACTGTATGCATTGAACAAGAATGCTAAATTTAAAGACAGAGAAAACAAAAGTTTTGGTTATATTATTTTAGAAATTATTTATTCAAATCAGATGTTTTTATTGCAGGTCATCTCAGAGAATTTAACATTTTATTGTGTACTGTGAATGTCCAGGCTGTAGTATCGAGGTTTCCTGCAGTTTATTTGACCCAATAACCCCTTTTTCTTACCTCCACACATTGGCATCTCTTGAGACTGATTTTGTGGAAAAATTCCTAATGATAATATGCAAACATACAATAAGGTATCATTGTTTTGACAGATCACACCTATTGTGGGAAAAACCAACACATATGACTTTCTTTTTAAACAAAATGTTTGATTATAATGGCAAATAATGGTATGTTTAGACAATGATCAAAGTGGCTGTGTGTGTGTGTGTCACCTTGGTTGGTAATAGATGCATACCAGGTGGTATCATTTAATTAACTGTGTAACAATAGAACTGGTTATTATTTAGATTTTGCCCTTTCATGATTCTTTGTTGTAAATGGTTTTACTTATACTTATAGATGCATATATTAGAGAGGTGAATATGATTCATGCTCATTAATAAAGGCATTAAACTTATCATTTCGTTGTACTGGATTTCTAAAATGATAAAGATAATTACTTTTGTTGATGTAACTATAGTTTGTGAAATCCATCTTTGAAATATAATTCAGTTAAGTGGGTTTTTTTTTAAGTATACTGGGAAATAAAATTGTCTCTGAAGAATACACTACTTTGCATTTTGAAATTTGATTTTGTACTCACAGTGATCAGAACATCATTCAATTCAAATAAAAGAATTAAATTTAGAGAATATGCCACATTTGCATTAAGTGTCTAGTTCCAAAACACCTCCTACACATTTGGATTGAATGTGGTCACTGCTTTTCCAGAGTTCCTGAAAGACCAAAATAATATGCTGCTCACTAATATATGATAAAAATTCAGCACTATTCATTCTCAGAGAGCATCTTTAATATAGACATATAATTTATTTTTATTTTATAGTGTCATTATAAGAGGACTTCAGTATTCCTAAATGGATTATAGACATAATTCACCTTATCCCTAAATAGAAATAGTCCCCATTTATGCACCGAACAGATGCAGTAACATATGATGAAGCAGCTACCTCTAAGTCAGTGACCTCTTTCTGCTTTTAATTTTTCTTTAACTGTTGGCCAGAAGGCAGATTATCTCCAAGTGTTCTCTATGATTGTTGTCAGAGAAGCATTGTGATGGCACGTTAAGCAAGTATAAAAGTGATCCTGGGAAGCAGAATGAAGGCTATTGAAGTAGCCCAGATTCACACATTTGTGTGGCTCTTGGCTTTCTCAAGCTCTGTGCATTTTTCATTTGGGCTTCTAAGGAAGCAGAGGTGATTCCCTTTATATGAACTTCAAGAAAGGCTAAAAATATAGTGACAGAAAGCACACCAGTGATTTCGGAGGTGGAGGGTGGGAGTCAGGTGTTGAGAGGGGCAGGAGAAAACTTTCCCAGGAAATGGAAATGTTTTGTGTAATAATACTACTATACGTATTTGCCAAATCTCATCAAATTCTACACCTACCATTGTTAAATTTTATTATATGTAAATTATACCTAAATAAAACTGCTTAAAAAGAAAGTATGATATGATAAAAAAAAGTATGATAAAATTCAATAGTAAGGAGAAAGGGGATCCTAGAATTTATTAATACCTGGAAATGACCAGAAAAATCATGAGATAGCTGAGTTTCTCCAGAATCTGGGAAAGGATTAACATCAGATAAAAAAATGTAAAGTGATGATGGAAGATAAAAATGATTACACCCATCAGTTCTTCTTGATCATCGTAACTGTTTAATATATAAACCACCTAGCCTAGTGCTTAGCACATAGAAGACACTTAATAAATGCTGAATGCTATTATTTTTATTGTACATTAGGAGTGCCTAGACAGCCTAATAGGAATTATGACTAAATAGACAGAAGCTTCCTCCTACCTACTATGAAGACAGCCTATGAATGAACGGGTTCTGGTAACCTGAAATACACAAAAGGTGGTGGAATTTATCAATGACTTGTTTAGGATAATTAATAAACTCTAATGTATCAAAGAAGCTGAATATTAGAGTATTTCATAGACACGTTCTTAGCTATCTTTGTGTGTGTGAAATTATTTCTGAGCTATCTAAACCCATTGTGAGGACTCTCAGAAGAACTTTATATCTGATGAGAGTTAAGAGTTCTAAAGTTTGCAGGCCTTCAACAGAAGTCATAGCCATATGTGTAACATTTGATTTATTTTGAAATGTTTCTTGGCCATGTGAGAAATTAGTAGTGTGCCAACAATGATTATAGGAGGTTGAGGCTCAAGTTAACTCTGATCTTCACATGTGCTGTGATAGAGAAAATATAATAGCCAACATTTATTGACTTCTTAATGTGCTTAGCACTAACTGTGCTAGGTAAATTTCATGAATTATCACTTTTGAACCTCATCACCACATTAGGAGACACAGATAAGCAAAGAGGTTGCACCAGTATTAAGAAGCAGATCAAAATTTTTATCTGACTCCAACAGTTGAGAACCCCTGATATGGATGGTAGGACAACGCTGGTGAGTTTTATCAGAGCCGGATTGCTGACATTATGTCTTTGGTGTCCCTTGACCTATCCTGGGAATATGGAATGGAGAGACATAATTGGTCTGGTCCAGACTCTCTGAACCTCAAATAATAAGTCCAAGGATAGCAGTCTATAGTAAATGGTCAATAAATGATTTTTGAATGAATAGATAGCTGCATGCATTTGTATTCTTAGGAAGTAGGATTTGTATACTATATTCTTAACATAGAAAAGATACCAAACGTAGCCTAAGGTTAATGTTGGATTATGGTGCATAATTTATTTTCAGAACTGCTCATCTGACCAAGTCTATTTACAAGTCCATTTTGGGGCAATGGCATAGACACACTTCTGTGTAAGATTGCTGGCATTTTCAATAACTTGAATTTTGATAAACCTTTAATTATATTTTAGGATTATCAAACAGACAATTGTTGATCATAAATGAGAAAAAACATTAGTATGCAAACTCTAAAGGGTACATTTATCATTTTCTTATCATACTGAGCTTCGAGCTTATTGTCTATTTTCCAAGAAAGTAGAAAGGCTGTTTCTTAGAATAAAAATGTTTTTTATAATGTGAGCAGTAGATTCAAGCTGTACAGATTGGCTCTTTAATGAAATAGGCAACATTCCAATGGAACTGACAAGCTTTATTTCTATTTGTTGTATTTTCTTTCTCATTACAGATGGACCCGATTCAGAAAGCTGTAATAAATCATACATTCGGGGTTCCTCTTCCTCATCGAAGAAAGCAAATCATATCATGCAACATTTGCCAGTTGAGATTTAATTCTGATGTAAGTTTACCATTTAGTATTCACTGAAAAAAATGTATTATGCTGTTCTAATCTTGCAGAAGAGATTTCTTAAACATTTTTCTCCAATAACTGAGCATGTCAAAATTCAAAGATAACATTTTTAACTTATGTCTTTTAAATTTGGAGTTTATTTTATTATTTTTGGTTCTTTATTATGGAAACATCATACATTAACAATATTTTATACTTGCAGTTTAATGGTATTTTTTTTAGTCTCTCGGGAATACTAAATTTAGGTAATACACTTTCCCTTTAGAATATAGTCAAATTTAGGACCAACAAGATTTTAATAAATTATACCTCTGATATAAGATAGGTCCCAACTTATATTTCAAGGCTAACATTTTGCTTTGTAAATTTTTTTATCTGCCTTGGTGGTCCCCACTTCCAGACCAGCCCTTGTGTCCTTAATGATATTTGTGTTAGAATTCTCAAGCTATTACTCTAGAAGTATTAGCATTTTAATAGGGAGTCTTAAAGACTTCAAAGCACTCAAGCCCCTGATGAATAAAACTTAAGTGGAGGACATGACAGAAAGGAGACATTTGTGGACCTGACCAGTGCTTTGCAAATTATCCACAGAGAGTTATTCATATCTCCCATACCTTTTTTAAGGATCAGAAAATCTCTGGATTCATCACAGTGAAGCTCATTTTGGCTTATGGCCAATGTGAAAAACACTGTCTGCCTTCCCCAACCTCCTCTGGTGTGGAGTTGTCCTAAGAGGTACAGAAAACAGAAGGAATGTTGGTTTGGAAGGTCTAGGAATTGAATACCTGTTGGTACTCTAGGCAAAGAGAGGACCCCATCCTGTCAAAGTGACTCCTCTGAGGTGCCATTATCTTCCCCTACGTGGATGTGCAGTGTGGAGATGACCAAAATGATCTGGATTCTGGAGAATGTTAGACCTTCCAATATTTAATCTTTCTAGGCAAGTAGATCTTTTAGTTGCTCTGGTAATGAGAAGATCATGTGAGATAATCATCCACAGAAAACAGATGTAACAGAAATAAAATGTCTTTTTTCTTCTGTGAGAACATCTCATGTTGTATAAGGATTGCTACTGTCTTGTGAACTCATACCTACTAGTACAGTCATCAGATAGTTTTATAACATTTCTTCTGTTGGCTTAAAAAAAAGAGTAGGTTGCCTGCAGAGCACCTAAATGGTATTTGTTGATATATAAAAAAAAAGAATACACTAAACATATGGCATTTTACTTAAAGAGAGGTTTTTGGTTTTTGGTTTTGTTTTTGTTGTTGGTTTTTAAATACTGAGTGCTTTGATTTGATTTGAATTTTAAGAAATTTGCCACAGTGTAATTTATTAACTAAAGATCTTTTCAACTGATAAGTGTCGTATAATAATCTCTTTCAGTAAAAAAAAAGAAGAGTCCTCTTGACCTGTACATTGGAGTTCTGAACTCAATAGTTTCAATTTTGATCATTTCTAAACATTTAGTGAACAATCATATAGATCTGTAATTGCTGTGTTAAGTGGCTCTTTCTTGATTTCTTTCCTTCTTAAATTGTATTGATATTTCCCTCGGAACTGATCAGATAATGATGCAAAAGTCTCCCAGGAGCCATGCGGTCAGCTTCTTACATCTAATGGGGGCTATTTCAATATCTCCTCCTGCCAACAATTTCAGTGTCAATATTTTCCTCTGTGTTAAGTAAACTTCCTGTAAACTGGGAATCAGAAAGAGACTTCAAGCTCATTGCACCCGATCTCCCATTAGATTTAAGAAAACCATCTGCCACATGTAGGCTAGGTCCTTGGCTGGTGATCTGCAACTATGGATCACTCACCACTTCAGGAAAATTGTTCCTTTTGTTTTTTTTGTTTTGTTTTGTTTTTTGGTTTTTTTTGAGAGTTTCTAATCCTGTTGATGGATATCAAAGTCATGTTTAAAGTCTTTAGAATTATTACCTGGTATGCATTAACATTAACATAAAGAACATTTACATCTTTTATAAAATGTAATCTTGTTTTATTTCCTTGATAAGAGAGAATAGCAATTTATTTTGCCTAATGAAATTTCAAGTTGATACAGAAATCAATACGTATTTACCGGGGACAGTTGCTTCTCATTCTCACAATTTTGCTTTCAGGTGTGTCTGGCATGTGGTACATGGAAAGTGGCCAAGGTATTTGGAAAATTTAGACTAATTGGTCTAGGTCATAATTACACAATTGCAGACTTGACCATTCACTAGATGGTTACTGTATTAATCTTCAATTGCTGCTGTAATAAATCATGGCAAATTTAATGGTTTAAAACAACATAAATGTATTATGGTCTGAAGGTGAGAAGTCAGAAATGGGTCTCCCTGAGCTAAAATCACATTGTTGGCAGGGTTATGTTCCTTCTGGAGGCTCCAGCGGAGAATTCAGTTTCTTGCCTTTCTTGTCCACCTTCTAGAGGCAACCCTTTTGCTCATGACTCCCTTCCGTCTTTAGAGCAAGCAGTGGTCAGTTGAATCCTTCTCACATTGAATGACTCTGACCCTCACTTTTCTGCCTCCCTCTCCCACATTTAAGGACCCTTATAATCACAATGAATTCATCTGGATGATCCAGGATAATATCTCTACTTTAAAATCTCCTGATTAGCAACCTAATTCCATCTGCTAACTTAATCCCCCTTTGTCATATAATGTAACATATTCATAGTTTCCAGGGATTTGGTCTTAAATATCATTATTCTGCCTGCCACAGATACTCATTTGGATGTTTGGCTTAGATTTGAACTGAATTTTATGACCACTTGAATTTATCAGATAATTACCCAGTATAGCTTCATTGCTCTATATAAACTGGACACATGTGAATTCATTGCTTTTTTTATCTTGAAACTTAAATGTAAATTCACTATGCAGTGCTAACTTTTAAAACTGCAGTTTAAAAAAAATGGGAAAACCCAATGTTATTAAATTTATAAATGACATAGCAACATTTTACCTATGATTTACAAACAAAATATAATTATTATAAAGTTGAAGTACAGGAGCAGAAACTCTAAAGACTTAAAAAATGTCTCTGTAGCATTATTATGTCAATTATTATGTCAATAAGGGGAACTAATATTCTGGAAATATGAAATTTGTTTACTATTGACTGGTCATGTCCACAAATATTACTTTTATAAAATATTTAATAGTGAGTGCCAAGATCAATTGGATTTATCATCCATTCACCCACATATAAGAAAATAATCTACATTAAGAGAAAATACAAATATTTTCTAGATAGGTACATATAGATATATCTCATATTTGACCATTTTAAACCCAAGAAAAGGCTTTTTAATCCCAATAAAACTACATCTGCTCCTTCCAGGTATATCTGGAATTTATCTTCCTGTTTCCGTTCTTAAACCTAGAATTATTTTGGAAAAGTAACCCTGTAATTCACTTGCATGCTTGGTTGCATCCTCAATCACATAGGAAAGTATTTTTGCCTTATGAACCTTTTTACATTTCAAAGCTTCTTCCCCTTCCAATGAAAATAATAGCTTGTAGTTCTTTTCATCTTTGCATCATGAAAATTCAATTTCCTTTCCCTCTATGCTTTTATTTATTTTTTAACCCTTCATTTTATAATCTGTGTGGTTTGGTGTTATGCAATACCTGTTTCCTGTACAGTACATTTTCTATTTTTGGCCCCACAGAAATCTTTTTAAATGGCATATTATACTATATGCACTTTAAATGAGATTGCTTTCTCCTAGTATAGGCTTTTTCTTTGAAAAAAAAGAAAAAACTTTTCTCAACATTTACATGAAACACATATAAGGGTTATGCAAAAAGTTCCCAAATAAAGACCAAAAGGTTATAATTTGTCCAGTTATTTTATCAGCATCTTAAAACAAGTATAAATTACCATTGGCCTGAGCAAGTTATTAAGTGTACCTTTGAAAGACAGTTTATAGCAGGACCAGCATGGATGTAAGGTTATTAAGTGAGGTATCAAATGATTACTTGATGACTATTTATAGAGTGGAAAGTAAGATTTCAGGCCCTAAACTAAAGAATCTTTAAGCTGTGGCATCTAAGAGTCACTCTGGTTAGCCCAGCAATAGTATTTCATAACGTGTTAGAGAGAGAAGAAAATTTTTGCTAATTTCCACTGTGGAAACTGAGGAGCAGAAAATATAGGAGACATACAAGGCCACCTGGCGGTTACTGGCCACTAGCCACACAGGGTCAGTGTCCACTCTTGTCATTGTTCCTGCCCCATCTGGTCCAGGCAGAGTAGCAAGTCCATCCAAAGGCTCCAGCCAATCCTAGAGTAATGGTGTGGCTGGAGATCTGTGTACCTGGGGGCTCCTTCCCTTGCAGAACTAACTGGATGTGTCGGCTGCTGTGGAAAGTCATCTAGAGCCTGGGCCAGACCTTGCCCACCAGTGCTTGCGAGTACTTTCAAATGGCATCACCCATATTGTCACATGATTTAATCATAAACCTGATGAAATTTTAAGTACAAATGCAAATTATTGTGTGATAATATAGTAGCAATATGTCTTTATGACTCAGGACTATCCAGCATCAATTACTTCAAGGTGCTGTTTTGTAAAGCAGAAGGGAAAAACACCTCATTAGAATGTTGTGTTGCTTGGAACCCTAAGACCCCTCCAAAGGGGAACCTTGGGATTATCACTGATATAATTGATACATTTTTCAATGGCATTATAAAATAGAAATCATTATTGTTTTTCTACATTTTAGAACCCGGGAATGTAGTAAAATTAAGTAATATGTCTGAATTTAATTTATACCTCTGTGTTAACTTCTGTAACCAAATGAGACCTTATAGTGATGAAGTTGCTAAAAGGAACATTTTTTCCTAACAAATTATCAAATTAGATAATTAAACTTTCATAACATCACAATTTAAGACACATCTTTAAAATATTTAAATCTATATTCTTTGTGGGGGTCGATATTTAAAGGAAATACTGCTTGGAGGAAGAGAAA